CCAATTTTGGTCACTATGTTTTGCATAGGATTTCACCTGCAAGGGGGGAAGGGGGCTTAGCACTCTATTTTTCTAGGATTTCACATGCAATGGGGAGGGGCTAGCAACCAAACCAAACAACCCCCTCTGAACACGCTCATGTATACGTGCTTATTATGTATTTACATACATATGTATATATATCCTATTTACCTAGGACTTCACCTGCAAGGAGTGGGAGGTGTTACCACCCAAACCCCCTTTGAATACGCCCATGTATACTTATAAAATATTCCAATAGATCTGCAAGTTCTCACAGATTCATCTGTACACAATACACAATGATTTATTTTATCGCCTAGACATTGTAATTTTATTACCTCAACTTATTTATAAATTGTATATTTCCAGGGCTGTGGCTACGGCTGCCAACTGCACCATGTGGTGTACTGCTTTATTGTGGCCTACGCCACCGAGCGAACGCTCATCCTAAAGTCCCGCGGCTGGCGGTACCACAAGGGCGGCTGGGAAGAGGTCTTCCAGCCGGTGTCCAACAGCTGCCACGATGCGGGCACCGCCAACACATACAATTGGCCGGGCAAGCCGAACACCCAGGTGCTGGTGTTGCCCATCATCGACTCGCTGATGCCGAGACCACCGTACCTGCCGCTCGCCGTTCCCGAGGATCTGGCGCCGCGCCTCAAGCGTCTCCATGGAGACCCCATCGTCTGGTGGGTGGGCCAGTTCCTTAAGTATTTACTGCGACCGCAGACGCCGACACGGGATTTCCTCACGGCTGGCATGCGGAATCTGGGATGGGAGCGTCCCATTGTTGGGTAAGATAGCCGAGATTTGCATTACTTTGAATAACTTAAGTGTAATGGGTTTCTTGAGCTACCGAAACCGGTAATAAACTTACTGTAATGACTTTTTCCCCTCGCTTTGCAGGGTCCACGTTCGTCGCACAGATAAGGTGGGCACGGAGGCGGCCTGCCACAGTGTGGAGGAGTACATGACCCATGTGGAGGACTACTACCGCACGCTGGAGGTGAACGGCAGCAGTGTGGCGCGTCGCATTTTCCTTGCCTCGGACGATGCTCAAGTTATTGAGGAGGCGCGCAGGAAGTACCCGCAGTACCAGATTATCGGTGATCCGGAGGTGGCGCGCATGGCGTCCGTATCCACGCGATACACGGACACGGCGCTGAACGGCATCATACTGGACATACACTTGCTGTCCATGTCCGATCACCTGGTGTGCACATTCTCGTCGCAGGTGTGTCGCGTGGCGTACGAGATTATGCAGACGATGTATCCGGATGCAGCGCATCGGTTTAAGTCGCTGGACGACATCTACTATTATGGCGGACAGAATGCGCACAACCGGCGCGTCGTCATCGCCCACAAGCCGCGCACGCACGAGGATCTGCAGCTGCGGGTCGGTGACCTTGTCTCGGTGGCCGGCAACCACTGGGATGGCAACTCGAAGGGTAAGAACACCCGCACCAACCAAGGCGGCCTGTTTCCCTCGTTCAAGGTGGAGGAGAAGGTGGACACCGCCAAGCTGCCCCTCTATCCGGGCGTTTAGTTGGATGGCCAGCGTGCCCTCTCTCCTCGGCCATGTTGTTGATTGATCTGTGAATCTTTTCTGCCGCATTCCACCTGGAATTTCCACGGTGCAGTTCGATTCGGCTCGGATCAGCATCACCAGTATCTATCTATCTATCGAATGTCCAGAATCTCAAATGAAATCTCGCTCTTTTTGTAATTGTCCATGGAGCGCCTGTGCTCCTTGTGACCCTTTTTCTTCGTGTTCTCGTCTACGCACTTTTACGCTCTGATGGTTCCGATTCCGAATCTGATTCTTATTCTGCATTTGTACAAGTCTTTTATTAATAAGTAAGTCCAAAGCCGAAGAAATTATGTTGACAAGGATATACATAAATATATATATAAATAAATTATATATAGGAGTGCATGTAGGTTCACTAAGCGCAATATAGTCTATCACCTGTAAAATAGTTGAAAAAAACAAACAAAAACAAAACAAGAAATGAACGCAAAACAAAACTAAATCTGATTAAACTCAAGCGTCAATAGTAAAATAAATAAATAGTAATGTTTTAAAAAGAAATTTGAGTTGTTTAATTGTTGTGAGGGTGAAAAATTAAAATAATAAGCATAAGTTTGGAGTTTTTGACCAATTTTAGGAAAATAAATATAAGAAAATGGGAGAAAAAATGTTTTTTCAGTCAGTTTAATAGATGTTTTAGCTACGTTGCAGTCAAATGATTTAAAAAGTTTTGATCTTTATTAAAAAGTTACTCCTTACAAAAATGCGAAATATTATTTGAAATCATAGCCTAGTTTTTAGATTATTTTAGAACTGGGGTAAGGATCCTAACTTGGCAAAAAGGAGAGCAAGAACATGTATTAAATGTTTAGTGGGTGATAGAGGTCAATGAACTGATAAAATAGGTTGTTGTTCCAAACAAATTAATAGAGGATTTAAGATTTAAATGCTTACTTTTGGTCTGGTGATTTTTCTACATAGGTTACAGACGGATATTCATCCAAAAAATTTAAGAATTTTGAATTTTTGGTTACCAGTTTTTTACGATGGGTTTGTCGGCGGTTCAAGCACCTTGCGGCGCCGGTGAAAGTGCAAATTGGCGCTGTGTGCCCTCGTGATGAGTCAAGTCAAGTTAACCCCGCTGGAACCCCTCGAAAACCGCAGGAATTCCAAAACACCAAAACAAGAAAATTCCCAAAAAACAGATCGAAACGGGCGCCAAAAAACCGAAAAAAAAATGAGAAACGTGATAAGCTTCCCCAACGACAATATAAAAAATAATAATAATAAATATATATATATGTATATGACCCACGCGTGTGTATGCCTGTGCATAAATAAATTAAAGGCGTCTGTGTGTGTGCGTGGGTAATTGTAATTAAGTACTCAATGAACCGCAGGGAAGTGAAATAAGAAATAAAAAAATAAAAAAGCGGCCAAACAGGCAGCTGAACCGGCAGCCGGGGAATGGGATCGGGAAAAGGAGCTCGCCCCGATCGTTGGACAAGGTCAAGTCGCTGTCGTTGGCAGCTGAATAAGCGGATAAGCCGCCTCATTCCGGGGCTTTGGCTTCTGATAACCGACGACATCCCGACTGCGTATAAAACATTGCGGCTGGGGCTCAGACAACAGCACTTGCGAACCAGCATCCCCATCGATAGCATCGAGATCCACAGTTTCCAGAGTTCCCAGAGATTACCAGAACCCATCTAATATGTCGCACTTCGCCGTTGTCGCCGCCCTCTTCGTCTGCCTCGCCGTCATCCTGGGTGGCCAAGGATCCCAGGCAGCCATTGCCCGAGTTAAGCTGGCCAATCCCGGTAAGTTAATACAAGATCATTACTATAACTCAAGTATTTTTTATATTTTATCATCATTACCAATAATATTATATTATTTATGTGTTTCCAAAAGTTATTTACATTTATAAAACGGTTTAATAACACTTTCTTAAGAACTTTTCAAGCAAAGTTAATCCAAGATCATTGCTAAAAATCATTTATTTTTTTATATTTAGTCATCATTAGCAATTATATTATATTATTTATATCTTTCCAAAAGTTATTTACATTTATAAAACGGTTTTGTGGATTTTTAAGTACTTTCTTAGAAACTTTTCAAGCAAAGTTAATCCAAGATCATTACTATAAATGAAGTACTTTTTATAATGATATATCTGAGGACTAGTCATTAGCATCAATAATATATTTAAAATTATTATTTATATTTTTCCCAAAGTAATTTACATTTTTTTTACTTTTTTATGGATTTTAAGTCACTTTTTAGTTAAGAACTTTTCAAGCAAAGCCTTTACAAGTCCAGAAATACAATACATCTAACTTATAAAGATGGTACCCCCTCATATATTTTTGCAAAAATACATTTAAAAAGGGATATCGCCTCAAAAAATCAAAGTTTTTATAATCATTAATTACTAGAAATCAATAATAATAATATAATATAATATTATTTATATATTTTCAAAAAAAATTTACATTTATTAAAAGTTTTTACGGATTTTAAAGCACTTCCAAGTTAAGAACTTTTCAAAAAAAAAGCCTTTACAGATCCAGAAATACAATAAATCTAACTTACACAGACGGTACCCCTTATATACTATTGCAAAAATACATTTATGATGGGATACAGCCTTTAAAAATCAAAGTTCTTATAATCATTAATATATTCTTATTCATGTGATCCATTTCCTCCTGCTTTCAGATCACCCCGGCAAGTGTGTGCTGGACTCGCACACCATCATGTCGCCCGGACAGACCGGCAAGGCGCCCAACCTGCCCTGTGCCAGTGCCGAGTGCCACTCCGACAGCCTGGTAACCATCCAGACCTGTGCCGCCGTCGCTCCGCCCAAGGGATGCAAGCAGCGCGACTTTGTCAACGTCAACCGCGACTATCCCGCCTGCTGCGAGCGATCCTACGACTGCTCCAAGCACATCTAAAGCTATCAATTGCCAATTTGATAACCTTTGGTTGGTTTTTTTTTGTTTTTTTTTGTTTGTTTTATTTATTGTGTATACTACAACATAACAATTAAAATGTAAACGCTTAGCAATACAATTAAATAATTTAATAGAATCATTAACAGAAAATACATATGCATGTACGCTTGCTTGTGGGGCTGTAGTTGGGTTTGGATAACGAGGCAAGGACCTGTTCGCGGTGGCTCTACCTATTATATCTACATCCGATTCGGCTCGTTCTGGCGCCGGGTGATACATCACTGTACATGTATTTGGGTGTATAGCTTGCCGCCCGTTGCAATTCTACACTAACTGATTACACTAGATGGCTGGCGTATATAAAAAAAATAATATAAAATCAAATAAAAAGTATTAAACAAAATCACAAGGACGAAAAAGGCAGAGAGGTAATATAACTAGGCATATATGTATGTATGTACACCTGCGAGTGTTTGGTATTCTTTTTTGCTTTTTTGGGGCTCCTCGAAGCTCTTAAAAACCCGGACGCAGAACGAGGCGAATTCGAATCGCAACGAGCCGTACGGCTGAATCCTTTTTGGTGTCTCTCCTTTTTGCAATCGCAATTTCCTGTGTTTCTTAGTAACTTTTGCTAATTCGTTTGTTGCTTGGTTTTTCCGTGCTTTCCTTCTGTTTTTTTTTTTCTTTTTTTTGTGTGTTTTGTGTGTGCTTGTGTAGCTCAGCGACCACGCCCCGTCGCCCGGCCGCCTCCTATCGGCTGAGATTGTTGATGTAGAGCGCGTGCAGCTCGGTGCGCGGAGTATTCTCGAAGAGGGCGGCCCGGTTCTGGCCCTCGCCCTTCTTGACCCAGTGCCCGTAGACACGGAAGGCACAGCCATCGATGACCTGCAATGAAATGGGAGTTAGTTCGTATTTAAATATAATAGCAAATGATAAGAGAAAATTGCGGGAAGAAACCCTTTTTATAAATCTATAGAACCTACGTTAGAAACATACATAGTTTCTTCTATACTTATACTATTACTTGGATCCTTAGTGACTTTTTCTTAGGTAGAAAATATTATTATCATATTATTTTCATTATTGTTTAACTTTTCTTAATATCGAATATATACAGTATCAAAAATATAATTATATTGTTACGCATCTTATCCAATCTTACGTATCCAATGATAGTATTTAATTATACAAAACTTTTGAAATGAAAATATAATCCTTTCATCTAGAACAACCCTAATCAGATTTAATAAATATTTGAGAAATATAAACCATATTCAAATGTAAAATAATAATATAACATAATAATGATAATACAAAATCCAGAATAGTCCCTGTTTTTATAGCCCTATGTTAACCCACATCTGTACGAGAATTTTTAGTAACATTTTCTTATATGGAAAATATTAATATCATATAATTTTGAAATCATAGGTTTGCTTCGCATCTTATAAAATCTTATATCTTCAATTAAGCAATTTAATTATAAAACAAACTCTTTGATTAAAGTGTGTAAATATAAACAACTTTTGAAATAATATATATAATCCTTCCATCTAGGATAACCATAATCAAGGTATATATGAAGTGAAAAATATAATCCTTCCATCTAGGACAAACCTATTGAGAGGTTATATATATTTAAGAAATATAAACCATATTTATAAAATCTAACACCTTATAGAAAACTTCTGAAATAGAATCCTTCCATCTAGAACAAACCTAATCAGAGGTTATTTATATTTAAGATCTATAAACCATATTTGGAAGTTTGAAACAAATATATGACTGCTTGCCTATAGGCTTTTAGAAACATTTCCATCCTAAATTCTTGCTTAAATGGATCACATCTCCAGATCCTTTGGGGACTTTCCCAAAACAGTTACTCACCTTGCGCAGAACCTTGACGCGGTACGGATCCCGGATGGCCTCCTCAACGTGCAGCGGCTCGGCGGTGTAGCGCAGGCGCCGTATCCGGATGACGGCCCGTATCACGAGTATGGCGAATTGGAACTTTTTGCGCGCGTTGAAGCGACTCTGTTTGCGCAGCTAAACATGAGAGACGGGAAGATGCGGATTAGGACATCTGGATACTCGAAGCATCAACTCGCGCATTGCGGATCGATCTCTTTTTTTATTTGGCTTTGTGTTTGGTTAGAAGTGCACACGCCATGGGTTAAATTTGAGGGGGGTTAATTCGTTTCGGGGTTAGCAAGTGGTGGTTTAAAAGTTAATGGTTAATGGTTACACCTTCGGACAGAAAAAAAATTAGAACAACACGGATCGGGGACAGCGATATGTTTCGAGTGCCCAGTGTTAGTGGTTTTGGTTGTTATTTTATGGTTAGTCAAGAATATAACTCGTGGGTCAGTGTTTTTGATGGGTAGCATTAGTTTACTTCGATTTTTTTTCTTAGGGCAAGTGTTCAGATGATGGGCCAAGCAGACGCATTAACAGAAGACAAGAAAGCCATAACCGAAAGCAGAAAGGTCAGAGGTTAGGGCTAGGGGTTAGAGGTGTAATTACAGTCAGAGAAACAGAGTTTCGAGTGAACCACAACATAGACGCTATTTACGGATTACCATCGATTTATATAATACATATGTGTGTGGGCATTATGCAGATAAACAGATACACATTGACGAGTATTTTAGGTATGCGGAGTGGGCGTGGTTGTATGGATATAATACTGTATGCAAATCTATCTCAGTTTGACTTGGTTTACTCACAAGGGAGTCTCCACAACACCGACTTATAGACACACATCTTATAAGGGCGTTGAGACTCTGACAATATAGAGAACATGACACACAAACAAAACGTGTATAACATCATGAACAGAGGAGAAATTAAACAAAATAATCCGTCAGTGAATCGATTTTGGCGTGGTTTTTTTTTATAATAGATACGATTATAAATGGGCAGTATATAGGGCGCCCAAAAAATATTAAATCCCAGTTAGCCATTGTAAAAAAGAGTTCGTTCTTGTCAGCAAATTTGTGTTTTTTCAAGCTTTTCAAACAATTAACTTGTACTAACCAATTGAAAGGCTAAGCTTAGAAGTGATATTTTTCATTCGAAATTTAGACTTAATGGTTAATGGCAATAGCTTTTCTTTACTGAGTTAGAAGCACAGTACGCCTTTTACACTATGGGTGCGTTAGGTTAGTCATAATTAGGACTATCATGCAAGTTAGCTTATTCTACTATTCCTGGCTTCCTCCACAAGACACAGAGACAAATGAGAGACACTACGAGGCGGTTTTTGGGTGGGATTATTAGTGACACAGACGATCCACCGATCACGACTACATCTATTTACTACAGGCTATGGCCACACAGAGGTGTATACGGCAGAAGCAAGTCAACTACATACAGTTCTTGTAAATATCATCCAGTTCACCCGAGAGATATGTACTAGAGAAAGGTGCATATAATACAAACATAGTGTTTACTCGCTACGATATGACTAAGTGTCAGCTATAAGAAAATACAATAATAGTAATAGTATAATGCAGTAGAGGTATTTTCAAGATCTTAGGCTTATAGTAGGCGTTTGATGGTAGGCAGCGTAGGACCGATCGGCCGATATTACGATCCTTGGGATCGAAGATCTCTCAAAAAGAGAGAGATAGAAAGAGACAGCCGATCGGCTTACTGCGCGTGTGAGTGAGTGAGAGGGATGATACAATGTGGGTGAGTCGAGTGCAGCTTGTCTCTGATGATTTATGGAGTGGGCTGAGCTAAGTCAACTAAAAGCACTAGAAATTAATCGGTAATAGTAAGTGTGGCATCTAAATAAAAAATATAACCCACGCGGCTGCCAAAAAACGCTAGAAAAACGAAAAATTCCATACAAAATGATCTGATATGGGTACGAAAATTATAAAAATGCTTATAATAATGTTGGAGGAACTAAGAAGCTACTTTAAGCATTAAGAAATGGTTTCATATTTACAAAATTCTATTTGAAAGGGCAAGGATATTCAAGTATAATACAAATAAATATTTGTGGTTTCATATAAAATATTAAAAATGTAGCAAAAAGGGGTAAAATCATTATGGAAAGTTAAGAATAATTTTGAACAAGACAGATATGATATGATATGGATAATCATTATTTGAATATTCTCTGATAACAATTATTGAATATATCTAAAAAGGTCTAAAGGTTACACAGATAGGATATGGATAACCATTAACTGAATATTCTCTCGTAACAAATATTGGATATTTCCCAAAAAGGATACAAATTTTAAATATTGAGGAGCTGTTTGATATGGATAACAATTAACTGAGTACTTCCAAGCTACAATTATTGGATATCTGTCATAGCAACAAGTCTTATAAGCCCACTTCTTTGGTATGCAACTTTTCGTTTCCCTAGCGATTCCTGCCGTCGTCCGTTGGGCCATTTGTGATGGGAAGGAAGCAAAGAAAATCAAAGGAAAACCTGCCTGCACTGGAGGAGGTGTGTACACCGATTGCTTGCCATCGCCACCTGGCTGCAACTGTGGATGCAATTGCAGTTGCACCGGCAGTTGCGTCGTCTGTTGCTGTTGCTGATACTGCGATTGCTGCTGCTGCTGCTGCTGCGACTGATGCTGCTGCGGTTGCTGCTGATAGTAGACCGTCGCCGTGAGCGTTTTGTGGGAGTTGGCGGATGCCAGGGAGGAGGACGCCAGGGCCGCGGCGGCGGAGGAGGAGCAGGCGGTGGCGGATGACATGGCATGGCAGGAGGCAGCCGCATCGTCCAGCGGCCCATCGCGCATTCGATTCGACGAGTAGGAGCTCTGTGGCGCACAGTACAGATAGCCAGCGCCACTGCTGCTCCTCAGTTGCCCAAAGCGGTACGATGAGGCCTCTCTGCCGAGGAGGAATCTGCCGCTTGAATGGGCGGCCGGGATGGGCGGTGCCGGATGCCGGCGATCACCCATTAACACCTGATCCCCGCAAGATACCGCGATTGACAAACAAAAAACCGGAGGCGGAGGAAGGATGAGGTTGGTCGGTGGGCAGGGGCAGAGGCAGCAGCAGATTGGGCGCGGAAGAAATTAAAATTTTGTTATCAGTCATGGGGGATAAATCAAAAGGGGGTGAATCAGGGCGTACTTAGAGTAAAATATAACCTAAGGTGGTCTCCTCTTACATTCTACATATACAAACTGCCTTAAATAATACATCCTAGTGGTTTAATTCCTTTACACTTCATAATTATATGCACCTTGATTGGGTTGTGTATTTCAAGTACACCCATACCTTGAGTTTTATTATTAAGAAACAGCCTAACTAATGGAAATACATATGATAGGACCCCACATTTTGGTTTGATTTGCTCAGAGTTCTTAAGTATTATCATATATTGTGTAAAATAACTTCATGTTAAACCATTAAATATGACTTTGATTTTTCTTATAACTCAAGAAAGGATTCTATAATTTTATAATATTATTCAAGGTATGGGTATCCTCATATCTCACTGCCTTTTTCTCCTTCTTCTCGCTGGCTAATGGTTAATGCACGTATGTACACATGCAGTGGACTCAATATTGTGATCTGGGGTATTTTCTCAAAGGGGTAGGGAGTCTGGGAAGAAAGGAACCCTGCTGGATTTTTTTTTTTGGGTTGGCATGCAGACACAGTTATTTAATAAACAGAGAATGATTCAAATGGCGAGCGCAGAGCTGCAGACTTGTGTTATCGTTTTAGTTATCGAGGCAATCGGTTGATTTGTACAAAAAACACACAGGGAGCACAAGATCGACAACAACATCGAGTACACGGAATGGGATTAGAGGGGGATTTGGTTATCATCGTGGGGCATCGATCAATCGACAGGCAAAACAAATCAGATGCAAAAAAAACGAAGCAGATCAAGTACGTTTTCTTGTTGCTTTTTGTCGGTTAAGAGTTATTATGCTGGCACATGACCTGAACGGTTTAAATATATATATATATATAGTATACAAATTGATATGCACTATGATGTACAGTTTTAGCTGGGTTATATTAGATCGGTACAGAACGAAACAGAACAGAATGCAACGGAAAACAGACACGAATTGTGGGCCGGCAGGGTTGCATATGGTCATGAGTTGGGTCTGCCGGCCCGATTGTTTGATTATCGGGTTTATCGGGATCATCGTTATTACAGCGATTATGGCTCCGATAAATGGAGGCGCAGACACACAGCACAGAGAGGTAAAGAGAGAGCTAGAGCTTGGGTTAGTCCGGGAACAGTTCGTTACCAGTGCGATCTCAGTGATGCGACTCATTCGTCGGGACTTGGTCGACAGGCTGCGCTTGAGGCCATCAATGTTTTGCTCGAACAGCTATCGATAGTGATAGTGTGTGTGATATCGTTACCGTTCGTTTTGGTTCGTTTAAAATTAATTGTTATCGATTTGATATATAGTTTATATGTAAGGAAAAGAAGAAAGAAAATGTTTGGTATAATAAATAGTAATCGTAAAAATAAAAATTAACAAAACGAGGAGTGCTGCTTAAGAGGGCCCGAGGGGGAATTGGAATGGGGGATCCAAACTTATGACAGACCCTGGGTCAGGCCATAGATCTGACAATTGGACTACAACTACGGGGGTTAGGCTGCTACCCTAACCAAATCATAAATCATAATCGTAACTTTAGGAGGTAACAGTAAGAAGAAGCAGTTAATAGGCTGTTGTGAGTGGTTGGTGAGTCACAGGTGTGTTCTTTCCATCAGAGTGTGTGTTTTAAGGTGTATTTTGTGTTTAGAGACATTTGCAGGGTGGGGTGGGGTTGTGTAGAAGATACCCTCCAGAGGACCACTAGAGATCTAAAATCTATTTACGTATATGTACAAGGACGGAAACCCGAAATCTAAAGACTGCGACTCGAAGGCGGGCCTTATTCTTGGCGGCTAGGAGGTGAACTAATTGGACTGATTTTTTCCTTGTACAGGTGGTTGTTGTGGTGTTGGTTGGGGCCCGGCGGCTGCCAGCTATTCCGGCACTTACCATTTGGTTGAAGAATGGATGTCTTAATACTTCCTTGACGGTGATACGTTGCGCAGGATCAACGACTAGACATTTGCGTATCAGATCCTTGGGATCCTCTGCAATCAATCGGGGGAAATCATATAGCAAGCATTCATATAACTGGCATGTTTATATCAGTGGACCAACCTGAAATATCGGCCCACTCGGGCGAGGTGAAGCTGTATTTGCCCTCCATGATATTCCGCAGCATGACCATCTGCTTGCGGTGCCAGAAAGGTGGACAACCGACGAGCAGCGTGAACATAATCACGCCACAGGCCCATCTGCAAAAAGAATTTGGGTAAGAGGTGTCAATTTTAAGAAGGGAAACGAATCGGAAACCTGTGAAGAAAGCGTTTAACTATCAATAATTTCTGCTGAACCCAAGTAACGTAGAAACCAGTGGGAAACGTTCAACAAGCCAATAAACAAAAGAACATACTTTTTGCTGAACCAAAGAAAAATAGACGACTGGTATCGGAACTGATCAGATTTCAGATTATTATGGCTTTTTTGCTCATTCGCCAGTGACTCATTCATTAAAATGCACACTTCAAGATCATAACAATTCGCTTACGAAAAACACTATCCAAGTATTGTATAAACAACTATCAGCAAAATTGCCTTCTATAGAAAAAGGGGTCTCATTTCGATGGGAGAGTTTAGGCTTTCTTTTATATTTACTGCAAGCAACATGAATATGAAGCTAGCTATTTTAAGCAAAACATTATAGAATGTTTATTTGAAAAGTCTCGTAAGATGCAACAACGTTTTCTTGGTTGTATAGACTATTATATTATTACTAGGGCTAATAATTCAATGTGATAATATATTATAAACAAGCTGTTCGATGCGAACCAAATTGGAGATAATTTTTACTTAGGGTACAATGATAAATAGCTGATTTATTTGTTCTTACATGTCCACTTCCTGCGAATAGCCGGGCGATCCTTCGAACATGTTGCACTTAAGCGTTTCCGGCGCCAAATAACCGGGTGTTCCACACAGATCTGCAGATAAGATTGTAAAGTTCGATTACAGAACTAAATCCTCAAGAATTCACGTGATAATCACCTGTAAGTTTCTCGCCCTCCTGCAGCTGCCTGGCGAAGCCAAAGTCCGTGATTTTCACGTTGTGATTCTCGTCCAGCAAGATGTTCTCGGGCTTGAGGTCACGATGGACAATGTTCTTGGCGTGTATGTACTCGACGCCCTCGAAGATCTGTCGCATAATGGTGCGCGTCTTCTTCTCGGAGAGCGTCACCACAGAGGTCAGATAGTCGAAGAGCTCGCCTTTGGGACACAGCTCGAATACGAGGAAAACAAATGCATCTGACTCAAACACATCCTGCAGATCAACTGTGGTTTCAAGATAATATGTGTTTCAGGCTTGATTTCGGTACATCTTCTATAAGGACTTACTTATGTAGGGATGCCCCATGACCTGGCGCAGTATTGAGATTTCTTGTCTGGTTGCTTCCAGCATGTGATATGGATTCGTCTCGCCCGCCTCTGTGGTGGCGCCCAGGTCGATGATCTTGGCGGCGAACTCCTTGCCCGTCTCCTTCTCGATGCATCGCCTCACGGTCGAACTGATGCCCCTGTAAGACAAACATGGGCGTGAGATAAGCTGTTGCACTTGACTTTGGCATGATCGGGAATTTATCTAATCTCTAATCGCTTCAATTGTAATATGTAACTAGCCCTTGTTTTCGCTTAGTCGCTGCTGGTATTTGCTTAGCAAATTTGTTATCCCCTGGGAGTAGGAGGAGTTACCGACAGACGGGCGCCGCTGGAAAAACCCATGCCATGGCTCCATGTAAAGAGCTGGAGAAGGTTGACTCACTTGGCACCATTTAGCCAAACTGCAGAGCCATAAATATTATTGGCATTACTGCAGACTTGGCAGTAAGGTGTTGGAAAGCAGATATGTGGATGTTTTAGTAATTTCTCAAGATACTATCTATTTGGGTTTTTTCCGATTAAAGATCGATAAATATTTGGGGATCCTTGAAATTTAGATTTCTGTAAGGAATACTTTCAAGTTGAAGATGATATAACTATTCTAAAGAAATCTATGAGGTTATCTTTACTAAGTTCTGTTAAAATAAGAAAGATTATGTGGATTTTAAGGAACAATTAAACTTTTGCTATCATCTTCCTCCTAGTTTTAAGGATTCCCCCATTGTTCTACAAAATATCTCTTGGTTCTCACCTGCCCAGAATCTCCTTGGGCTCGTACTTGGCATAGAAGCCCTTGGCCGCATCCTTGTCGGGCAGCAGATCATCCTCCTCGTCCTTAGCCATTAGATCCAGTGAAATCTTGCCGGCTGCCGAATCGGCAGGGAGGAATCTGTTATTCGGAATAGGTTCGAGATTAGTAAAGGATTATATATGCTGATGATCGCAATCAAGATCAGTTACTCTGCCGGGCTGCCCGCTAATGAAGATGATGATGATGAGGAGGAGGAGGAGATGCGGCGTCGACGGCGGCGGCGGCGGAGGAGGTGGAGGTGGAGGTGGTTTTAGTGATGGTGTTCTGTTGATGAGGTTGATGCGATCGTTTAAGGCGTTGCTATTTTTATAACGACAATGTGGGAACGAACGGACGTGCGACACGAGTGGAATCTCTGTCTCTGCGAACTGCGACTGCGATTGAGACTGCGACTCTCCGACTTTGCGACTTTGCCGACTTTCCGACTTTGCCGACTTTCGTTCTTTTCTTTTCGTTTCAGGTCTTTCCTTTTAATTACCAAGCCTCAGCTGACTGCGCTGCTTCTGCCGACTGCGCTGCTTCGATTCCGATTCCGATTCGGTTGGAAGTGGCCTGTATCGGTTCGGTTAACTCTCTTCCACTGCCTCTCCCTCTCTCTTTCACTCGCTCAGCTGTTGGCGGCTGATTTAATTAATAACGAATGCCAACTACAAACAGAGATCGATTTGAATAACAGGCAAAAATTAAATCAAAAATAATAGAATTAAAATTTACTAATATATATGTTTGTGAGTGCGTGTGTGTTGTGAATGATTACACAACTACAACCGTTTGTTTTTGTTTGCGTTTCAAAAGGGTGCATTATTATTGTTGTTGTTGCTGTTTTGCCTTCTTATCACTGATATTCTCTGTGTTGTTGTTGTTGATTTCTTGCAGTTGTTTTGCTTTTGCTTCCCCTCACACACATACACACACGCAGCAAACAGACACAGATAGTGTGCAGCAGGTTCTTTTTGTTTTTGCTTTGCTCTCGTTTTCTCCCATCCTCCTTTGCAATCACGCACACACTCGCGCACACAGACGCCGCACAGCACACACATACACACACACACGCACCATCGTGGACATCCAACTAAGCGGGTACATTTCAATGTCAACTAAGGTTAAAAGTAGTACGCTTTCTGGCGGAGTTGGCGCACGCACCGCCAGTGAAACACATACACGTGTGGCCGCTCGGCTCTCTGGTCGCTGGCAACGACGTCTCGCGCATAACTCCACGCCTAATATTTATCGGATTAAATTGCAAATGCAACAATAAAACCCTGTATTTTTGACACAACACAATCACAAAACTAGAGCTGGCTCTGCAGTTGATGTTTGTGCGATACTATCGATTATATGGGTAATGGGGTGATATAGATGCATTTAGTGCCACTATCGATTACCTTGTTGCAGCGCAGTAGGGATGGTAGGTTTAGCAAAGACATGCTCCCGACGAGGGCTGGCACGGCTATACACCCTCCTTGGTTAGCGAGTGCACCCACCGGATATATTGGGGTTCCCGTTCTATTTTGGGGTTCACCTTTTCGAATTCAGTACTTGGACTTCTTTTACCTAAAAAATTAAATGTTTTGTGTGTTTTTGAGTCATTATTTTTCGTTTCTTAGGCAAAACCTTTTTTTAACTATTAAAACAAATATATACTTACATAAATTAACCACGGCATTCGTTTTTAATGCGTAAATTTTTATATTTTGTTTGGAATTAAAGCAATTCCGCTCTACTTATTAAATGATAGATTATTTTTTGATTTTTTAAGACTATGTTACCTGTGAACTTTGTATGCCAACAACATATAAATGGACTAATTTTCTTTGGCAACTATATGTACATATACATACAAGTTTAATTCTGGAACTATCCCCCTAACTCAAAACAACCGTATTAATGTTGATGTATATTATATTTATTTACGGAATACAATTGTAAAAAATATTTAATAAGCGCTAATGTATATAATAATTATGAGGCAAATGTTACATTTTCTTTTGCTTTCTTCCGGATGGGGGGTTGAGGTCTTAAAATGTTTATAATTTTTGTTTTTTTTTGGGTTGCGGAAGAAATGGAAGGGTCGCGGAAAGGGATGATGGGTCACAATAGCGGACCGTTTAGATCCATTAAGTTAATACTCCGGCGGACTTGACCGCTCGCTTCGTAGATTAAGATTTAAGTTACCTTCGGGATGCAGTCGGAAATACGTTGATTTGTTGTTGTTGTATATTTACTATCAAAATGCCGTAAATGGAATACACAATACAAATACAATTGAAGCAGCAAAGTTGTTCAATCAATGCCGTAGATACATTACAATAATATAATTATTAATTTATCGAAAAAAAAACATATATTTATATATATATATATAAAGAAGACAGACACACACGCTTGCTGTTGTACACATACACATCGGATCTCTAGGCCTACAAACTTACAAATAATATCTATTTATATACGTATCTTTATGGGTCTCTTGCCATACTTGGTTTACGTTGCCTTGTTTTTTTTTTGCATTACGTTTTGTGTCTAACCGAAATTGATATTTCACCTAAGCGCACGCTTTTCAATAAGGGGAATGGTTTTGGGGGGGGCGGGGTGTTTTGGAAGGTTTGGAAACCGGTAGAAAAGGAGCTTCTTGCTCAGGTTTTTGGCTGGCTGGTTGGGTGGCTGGCAGGACGACTTAATACAGCAGATCCGTCTTCTGTGTACCCTCACTGTACACAACACTCCCGCCCGGCGTCGCCGTCGGATGGTAATCATCCTCGTCCACAGCTGAGCCTTTCGTGGAGGCACCTGCTCCATTTCCCGCTCCCGCTGCCGCTGCGTCCGTTGCCAAGTCCTCCTCCTTGATCAGTCCCTCGCCGAGGCCCACGATGCTGCCATTCCCGTTGAACATTAACCGGCTGCCCGCAGCTCCGGCCGGACTGCTCCCGTTGCTGCTGGGACTGTGGCTGCCATTGCTGCTCCCGCTGCTGCTGCTCTCGGGCAGGGCGTACCGGGTGACTCCCAGCTGGAAGAGGTTGTCCATCGGCGAGCCCTTCATGGGCGTGTAGAAGCCCAGAGCCTTGGAGCCTGCAAGGATGCGGAGATAAAGATTAGTGGTGTTTTTTTTGAAGCGGATTCGAATCCCCTTCGGGATTGTGGGTTAGTACAGTAGTAGTAAAATATGATGGCACCGAGTTGGGAAAAATATATATAATATAATCCAGGTGAGGTGGTGGCGGTGGTGGTGATGGTGTTCTGGATGAGGGTGGTTGGTCTGGGCCAATTCTTGTCAAGCAAATGAAAACGAAATTTGAGCCGGAGTTGGAAATGGAGATGAGCGATGGAAGTTGAGATGACTAGGTATTCTGATGATGATATGACTAGGATGTGCCAAGTGTTTTTGGGTGTAAAGTGTGTGTGTTTGTGTTCTAATCTGGGTTAGTTACCTTAAATAGTAATATGAATTGGCGATTAGTTTTGATTGCCCAGCGGAGCAGACAGAGCAAGTGCACTGGGTTAGAGGTGTGGCATTTCTGTGTTCGCCCTTTTAATCGGTTATTGGGTTATTTTGGCTTTTTATATTTCGTTTTTTTTTCTCTTATTTTTGTTTTATTTCTGAAGTTTTCACTTTTTTTGCTTGATAGTTTATTTATTGCGGTTCGGGTTCAGCGGCTGCAGTTAATCGGTTATTCAGTTTTCGGTTCGGTTTATTTGCCTTTGCTTGTGTTATCATAGATATTTTTGGTTTTGGTATACAATAGATATTATTTCAACGCTTTGCTTATGTAATCTGTTACATTTAAATAATATCTGCAAAAAGAAATTAGTATGAACAAAAAATAGAAATAGAAGTAAACGCAAACGCAAATGCAAACAAAACAAAGCGACAGCGGTGAGCTTAACAAAAGGTAGTTGTTTGTTGAAATGAAAACCATAGGGGGAAAAGAGGGGGCGGTGGGAGGTGGGTGGGTTGGTTAGCGTAACTAGCTACAATTTCGAATCGCAAATTGCAATTCAATACATGCCTCACAATTGCATACCAAACTAAACTAAACAAAACAAAGCAAACATACATAAAGCACATGGCACATAACTAAAGCCAACTCACACGGGTGCAAAAAAAAGATACATTTGTATCTAGATACATACATACGTAACTCAATCAAATGAAAATAGTCACTAACTAAGGTTCTACGTTTCGCTGTGGCTTCGTTTACACCGTCACTTGTCGGAATTAGTCACTAATTAATGTTGGATTTTCATTTTAGCTTTATTTAGTATATTGCCACCCCCTGAAATATCACTGCATATTATATCTTGGATCCTCAAAATAATTGCAAATCATTTTTAAAACCAAGCGCTAGCTAGTCTGAATTTGAACACACCTTTGGCTTATTACAGAAGGGCGAAGGAATAGCATAAATATATCATATAATAGCATTTTTAGGAAATTTGAGAAATGGAAACTACAGACTATAGACCATCTTATACATAGGGTTGTGGAAAATGAATGTAATGGGCTCCTGTTTTACTGAATACAAATGGAATGGCATCAAATTATCAAACAGCTATTAAAGGAACACAGTATTTCGGTGGAATTTGGGTTGGTTTCTTTATAAGAACTCCATTCTTCAGGTATTCCTGGCTCGTCTTTTCAAATATTCCAGTTGTTCGTTATCCATAGCTCCGCATAAACGGTCGGTAGTGCATCAGGAAGCATATATAAGGCATCTAGGCATCTATTAATCGATTAATCGTGTGTTTCGAGTGTCCGGTTGCCCCAGTGTTTTTTTGTGTGTGGTGATTCGTGTGTTCGGGTTTGGTGTTTTTTACTTGATTTGTGTGTTCCTCGCTTCCGCATTTTTGAGTTATTATTTTGCTTTTGGAGTGAGTCGGATATGCACAGGGTTACACATTATACACTTTACAGTTTATAGTTTAGCGGCCATCAAACCAATATTTTGTTTTGGGAGCGGATTGGGGTCACCAAGAGGTATCCAAGGGAACAGTATGGGTGTTCTTTAGCCTAGTGGTAAACATATAGTAAAGCTTGGGCAATGCCTACGTTTCGCTGGCGGTTTCAAGTCGTTGGAATTGGTGTTCTGGATATCTGGTTGGTGTTGGTATTCTGGAGCTTTGGAGACTAGTAGTGCTTGTTTTTATTTGCTGGCTGGCCATCAGACATAGTAGAGCGTGGTGCCCGGGATGCGTGCCTGGAGCAGGGCCGAGCTGGCATTGGACAAAGCCAGCGACGACGGCAGACTGGGCCGACGACGTCGCTGCTGGAGTTCTGGAGCTGGACTCTCGCCACTGCCCCGACCTCCGGTGCATTCGTTTCTATCATATTTACTCTGCTGCTGCTTCTGCTGATGATGATGATGATGCTGTGGCTGGTGATGAAGATGCTGCTGCTGCTGTAGCTGCTCCTTGGCCTGCCGTTGATTGCCCATCGTAAAGGAGGCTGCCTTGCGCGGTCTGGCGGCAGCTGGCTGGGTTTTGGGTGGTGCATCATCGTGCTGGAGGAAGCAGGCGTACTGCGGCTTCAGCAGCACCGATGGCCTGGCCCTACGCACCACCACCACCGGCTGTGGCTGTGGTTGTGGCTTCGCCGGGAGCTGGGGGCGCCTGGGGGCGATTGTGGGTGATGGTGATGGTGGTGGTGGCAACTCGGTTTTGGCCACGGTTTCCACTTCTACTGGGATTGCCACTGCTACCGCCGCTGCTGCAGGTTCTGGCTGCTCCTGTTGCTGTTGTGGCGACTGTGGCAAGATAATACCCCTCCCTAAACTTGGGTAATCTGCAAATATGCGTGAGGCGAAATTGAAAGCCTTTCAGCCAGAAAAGACCGAAGCACGAATTGTTTTTTTCTATTTGGAACTCGGTCTATGGGTTCGTTTATTGTTTAGTTTTGTAATTTTTTTAGCTTTTAGTTCGTTGAGAGCTGTGACGTATATAGCGTATATAGAAGAGCAGGGGGTTCGGGGATCGGGGCATTGAAGGGGCTGCTAGCTGAAGGCTGCACCCACCTGATGCGCCTGGTCAGCCGGCGAAACTGAGCGCCCAGGACCACGCGGAACTTTGGCCAGGGGCAGCAGCCCGATTGGCCCGAGGTCCTGGCGCTACATTTGGGAACTGAGACGGTTACGGAAGTTGAGGCTGGAGCGGAGTTTGGAGCGGGCTCGGAAACTGATACGGAGACAGGGTGTTCTGTGGCTCTATCAGCATCTGTAAAGTGCAGAAACCTTGATTGTTATAAACCCGAATTCAGTGAGGGCTGGGGGTCTTGAGTTGGGGGCTCTTTGATCAACGTTTTCAAGGCTGTTCCTGCTTCTTAACAAT